ATCCTCCAAGAAGAAGAAGACATGGTAGTAACCCTCCCACCTGACACATGGGTGGTTGTCAAAGTTATGGTCCCTTTTTGGGTCCTTATTATAATACGGCACCTATTATTTAGGGTACCCCAAAAAGGGACCATAATTTTGACAACTACTCACATAAACCAGTGACCTCTTGAGTTTAGTTTAGGGTTTTGGGGGTTTAGGGTTGATGATGGAGAAGCCCAGCGCAGGAGCCTAAACGACAGCACCCGTTGACTGCCTTACCAGAGGACGCAGATTACAATTAGCAGCCCTGAGCCTAGACCAGTCGAGACTGCTCCTTGACTGGCTGAACGCAAACCGTCCACTCTAAAACTCTCCGAATTACTACCTTACTACCCTCAGTCCAATAGTCAGAGGCGAAGACAGCTGCGACGGTGGGCTCCATCCTGTTCTACAGCACCAGTGGCTGGGAGGAGGATAGTTATGCACGGATTAGGGTTTTGGGTTCGGGTTCGCAGTGTGATGAGTTCGGCTTGTGGAGCGTTGGGCATGAGGGTTTGTGAATACTCGGTTTTCGGCTGCGGGGTTTGGGGATTTGTGTTTCGGGTTTGCCGTTTTGAGGAAACCCACATTCAGACAATCCCTCCCAGTTTGAGGGTGGAGTCTGCGTTGTTGCTGCTGGCTGATATGACTGTCGTCAGGGTGAATGCAAACCCCAAACCCTAAGCCGTTTACGACTTTGCCAGGGATGTCTGGTGTCTGTCTGGTGCCATACATCGCTATAATAATATACGCAGCAAACCCCTCAGCTCTACAGCCCCGACTTTTCAGCCTGAGCACTGAAGCTCAAATGCGGAGCTGCCCAAACCCCTAGCTTTATCAGGGGTTCAGGGTCTCAGGGTTTAGGGATTTAGGGTTTTGGAATTTCGGGTTTCATAGGATTTATAGGGTTCTGACGCTCAGAACTTGATGCGGTGATTGGAAGTTCATGTTGTCTTGCTATTTGCTGGATCAGATATTGGGGCCACGATAGTTGGAAGAGAGGACCCCGAAGTACTGCAGGCATTTACAGGCATTTGGGTTCAGGAGCCGTGTTTCGAAGGTCGCCTACAGGCGACATAAGGCGAATATGAGGCCAACCTTAAGAAAATTTGTGGATCTGCTGGTGTGCTTTTATTAATTTGTTCATCTCGCTTAGACGTGTCGCATGATTCAATGCAGCTGCACGACTAGTGCTGCCCGACCCATGTTATGTGGCTGCTACACTCAAGTCGCTAAACCCGTAATCGTATGACTCGTTGCCTTTGTGACAGAAAACATGCTGCCTCAGTCTGTAATGCAGTTGCTCCTGAGATGCACACAGAACAATCCCGAGTCCAACAAGGAAAAGGCATTTGAAGTCCAGATATCCGGGATTTAGAGTTGCGGGTTCTTATATCCGGTTCCAAAAAAGTTCGATAAGGGTGACGAGGGTTCTATGTTTTTTGGTTTTTGGCTTCAGGGTTGAAGGCATAGGGGAGATTTGTTTGGCAGAAAGTAGCGTCTGGTGAGGTTACCTCAAGTACCTGGCGACGCCCGCCACGCCGACCATGACACTGCGGGCGCTGTCCCTTCTGCCGCCGGCGCCTGGGCACTGATACTTTGAGGCTCTCTGAACTTCGCAAATTTACTCAGCATCACTTCTCGCCCAGAACTAGATATCCCGATGGCCCATCTTACCTGATCCCTCGACATCGCCCTTTTCTGGCGGCCTTTCTACGATGCAGTCGAGCACTCGCTCGGCGGGTTTCAGTATTTTGAATAAGGGTTTGTGGGTTGTCAATACTATAGCAACAACACTAAGAAGGAACTCTAACAAGGAATAACATTACTACTTGTTTCAATGCTTTAGCAAGAACCCTAAACCCTAAACCCTACTAGAAATAGCCCTATAAGGAATAACACTACTGCTTGTCCCGGGCCCTACCTTCTGGGCTGGGAAGCTGCCTGATCCTCTTTGAGCTTATTTTGTTAGGAAGCCCTGAAACCTTACTGCTTTGGGGCTTAAGGTGTAGGGTTTAGGGTTCAGACACTCAACAGAAGTTTGAGAAGGGCGATGTGATAAGGATTTGGCAGCAAGTTCTGTGTGAAGTTTCTCTAGAGAAACATACCTCTTTGGGTTAGCTTAGCTTGGGTGCTACGAGTCATGTTGTTCCGAGCTGCAGGGTTTATGACGGGTTTCCCATGTGGGCACAATTCACAGGGCGTGAGCTCCTATGTTTGTTGCGTTTGGTGAAGGGAGCTAAATTGATTTGCAGGCTCGTGGTGTTTACTTGAATTTTGGGTTTGGGGTGTGGGTCGTTTTGCACCGTTGAACAGAGACATCTCAACTCATAGGCCGCGTAGCTATGACACTCACGACGCACGGAGTTTGAAAGCTTGGCACCAAGGTCAGTCTTGTTAGGTAAGCTTGGCTGGCCCTGTATCTTCAGCAGATGCTCGGGGGGCACTGCTTCCTCATGACACTAGGTCACTAGGCCTTACAAATTCCCTATGTACACCCCAAACACACTAACCCTAAACCCCAAGCCCCTTAAGCCCCAAAAAAGCCATGCTCGCAAATCTTTGACCCTGAGTTCTGGTTTAATCATTTATGCTGAACCTCTCTGCACCCAGGCCTCAATCTTGCACCCTACACCTTGCTTAAATAGGGTTCGGAATGATTTCGTAACATTAATATTCCTTCCATAGGTAAGAGTATTGCTCGAGACCGAAACCTTAGTCTAATCGCTTCTCATTTAAAGTTTATAGTCCCCTGAAGCCGTTTAATGCCATTCCATGCCCATAGAACTCTATAAGACCCTTAGAGAACCCCGGTAGACTATGTAGAACGAAAGTAAAGCCCTAAAAGCTCTGTAAAGCCATAACACCCCTCAGCCCTAAACCCTTAACCCTCAACCCTAAACTCTAAGCCCTAAAGCCCAAACCCTAAACTCTAAGCCCTAAACCCTTAACCCTAAACTCTAAGCCCTGAAGCCCAGACCCTGAACCCTAAACTCTAAGTCCTGAAGCCCAGACCCTTAACCCTAAACTCTAAGCCCTGAAGCATCTCTGTAGTCCGCCTTGAGGTTGCTTTTGAGCTCGGCGCTGACTTGGTTGCTGCTATGGAGAGCCAGCAGGCGTCCCTCTCAGTTTTCCCTGGGGCCTAGTTTTAATTTAAACGTCTGTAAGCACAAAAAATACATACATATATATATATATATGCACATCTACCAGCACATACATGTATCTTTGTGGGGCCATGCACGGGGGCGTTATTCAGGTTTTGTACAAGTTTTGTGGGGCTGAACCACAGCTTTGAACTTTGAAGATGTTTGGGTGTTAAGGGTCAGAGCTTTGAGTGCCAGTGGTGTCGAAACTCCGAACATGCTCCCCTTAATGGTTCCTTTTGGTTTCTTATAATGTTCAAATCAAGGGTCCGTTCAAGAGCTCCTTTGCCTTCCTACGCACTCCTTCTGTTCTTTTGGGCCCAACTACGCAAAGTACCTAGAGGACCAGGGGACTTACAAGCATCAGCATATTTTCTCCGTGAAGGAGCTTTCAGTCTAGGGCCCTTGCAGTACCCGCCTACAGCACCTTTATGGATCCCTTCTAGGAGCCCTAATTACTCCAATTATTTCGCCCCTGTATTGAGGCCCTAGCTCCTCAATCCTCAACCCTGAAACCTTAACCCTAAACCCCAAACAGTAAACCGGAAACTCCTAAACCCCAAACCTCGAGCACGAAGCCGATTGCACTTAAACAACACTAAACCGTAAATTCCTAAACCCTAGAACGCAAACTTCTAAACCCTTATAATCACTAAGCCGTAAACTCTTAAACCCTGAACTCTAAACCTACTACTTCAGCTCCCACTCTAAACCCCTACAACCTCTATACTTCAGCTGCCTAAACCCTAAACTAAACCCTAAACTCTACAACCTCTATACTTCAGCTCCCTAAACAAGCCTACAACCCCTGTATTTCAGCTCTCTAAACCCTATACAAACTCTACAACCCCTATACTTCAGCTCCCTAAACCTTAAACAAAACCCTACTTCAGCTCCCTAAACCCTAAACAAACCCCAAACCCTAAAACTTCAGCTCCCTAAACCCTAAACTAAACCCTAAACTCTACAACCCCTATACTTCAGCTCCCTAAACAACCTTACAACTCCTGCATTTGGGAGTTTCCGAAAATTAGGGGTACCTTATTTGGGGCCCTTATAATAAGGATCCTACTATTTAGGGTACTAAATTAGGGTCCCCTAATTTCGGAAACTCCCAATTTCACCTCATGAGGTCGGTGCCACGTGGACGAACGCTCCTTGGCCGGAGCTTTCTTGGGTTTAGGGGTTTGGGGGTTTAGGCTTTAGGGGTTTAGGGCTTTGGAGTTGAGGCTTTAGGGGTTTAGGGGTTTGGGGTTTAGGGGTCTAGGGGTTTAGGGGCTTAAGGTTTCAGGGGTTTAAGGGTTTAGGGTTTAGGGATTTGGGGTCCAGGGTTCGGGATTTGCGGCGTCGGTTTGTGGTTTGGGGCTTATCGGTTCAAGCATCCTCAGGCCTCGTCAAATCAACATGGGAGAAGCAGGACTTATGAAGGTGGCACAGAAAGCTACAACATTACCCCGCAATGCCTTAAATTCAAGTCGAAGTCATCGGCATCGAGCGGGGGGCGGGCGGCTTCGGGCAGAGGAGCGCAGGCTTACGCAGCAGCCAAGAAAAAGCCCTAAACCCTGCAAGTTTCCACATGTCTGCTCTCGCGTGTGAAGCCATGCGATCGCAGCTACGATGAGTCAAGAGCTTAACAGCTAGGGGAAAAAGGACGCCATATCTTCGCTCTGCTTTGCCGAGCCTCCGAACGGTGTCTCTTCTGCTGTGAGCTTACTCTCATAAGCCCGGGCCTTTCACTGTGCAAGCGCCACGCTTGCATGGTAGCGGAGCCCTACGGGGCTCGAAGAGCAGCGATCCAGGGACCGAGCCGCTACACGATCTTCCTGTAGCGGAATGACAAGCAGTGGCGATCAGGCAGGAGGCCTGACGAAAGGCCGGGACGGCATTCCGTCATGGGACGGAACAACAAGCAGCTTCCAATCCTACGTGGAAGCTGCAGAACTCTATGAACAAGGCACTCCGTACCACAAGAGATACCTTTGTGGACCAAAGCTACAGGCCGAGCTGACGGGGACAGCACGGCGACATGTGGTGGGCCAGCGACCCGACTGGCTATCACATGAACAAGGTGTTCACACACTTCTCCAACACTTAAGGAAGTGTTTGGGGAAGCCGCAGCTTCCCGAGCTCACCGAGCTTCTCGCGCAGTACTTCAAGGGCTCTCGCAGGTACCATGGCGAGGGAATGGGAAGCTACATCTCCCGAAAGTGCGAACTCTACATCCGTGCCCAACAGGCAATGAGTCGAGTACAACCCCATCATGATACAGCGGCCCAGACGAGGTGGGCCAGTCGTGGTAACTATGGGTACAGCGACTACGGGGGCACCTACAGTAGAAGGAGCAGTTTGGATTCCCATGTCAGCGACGGGGATACAGAGGCGGACACAGTGGACACCCAGGCAGCGGCACCCACAGCTACGCCAGCCGCAACAGGAGCCAATGCAGGACATGATGAAGATCATGCCTGGAACCCCAATGGGGGTGACTGGGCCAGGAGCCAATGGGGATGGCAGGGATGGGACTGGAACACTTCGTGGGCCGAGTACCCATATGGGGCATGGACATGGCCCCGGACAACAAGGGATGAGAGGACAACCCTGCCAGAGTTGGTTCCCGAATTTGTTCAAGCTTGGTTTCTGCTACAAGACGCGGGGCTAGAGCAGAGTGAAAAGAACTTGGTCTTGACCGCCATCAAAGGCGAGATGGACCTTCAGAAGATGGCCCAGGAGCTGCGGACGCAGTTTCCCGAGCCAGAGCTCAAACGCCGGGACAGCCATCGCCGCCAACACCACGGCCTCATGGGGATGCCCACCGAGGAGGACGACGGTGGCGACGATGAGGGTGAGGCCGGACATGACCTGGCCTTCGAGGCGGAAGAGGAGCTCACGGACGAAGGCTACGCGCTGTGGAGCAGCGCCACCGAGGAGGCGGAACAGGCCTTCGCAGCCTTGCAAGGGGCCCGCCGGACCTTAAAGGAAGCCAGGGAGCGACAGAAGCAGGTGCGGCTCAATCGTCGTTACTTCCGGGGACCCGGTGGCGGCAAAGGAGGCAGCAGCGGACCTCGTGATGATTCGAAGATCAGCTGCTTCAATTGTGGCCAGATGGGGCATAGGACAGCCAACTGTCCTAAGAAGAAGGGTCCAGGGGCGCCACCAGAGAACATGGCACCCTTCGTGTGCTATGCAGGCTACCAGGAGGACAACCCCGAGCAGCAGGCCTTGGCAGTGAACGCACCCACCACTCAGGAAGCCATCCTTCAGGGCAAGTGCGTCGTAGACAGCGGCGCCACCAAGAGCCTGGGATCAGTCAAGGCTCTCGAACAGGTGATGAATCGAGCAGCCGGCGTGGTGAACCACATTGACCTTCAAGACCGCCCAGTGTTCGGCTTCGGCAACAGCTCGGAGGATGCCTGCATTTCAACAGTTCACCTTAACGTGAGTGCAGGGGGCAAGCCAGGGACTCTCAAGGTTCATGCTTTGGACACTGGAGAAGGACCCATCCTTTTCTCCATCGATGCTCTCAGGTCCTTAGGGGCGATCGTGGACTACAGCGCCGATCTAATGGTTCTCAGGAACCTGGATAAGCACCAGCTCATCCGGCTCGAGCGCTCCAGTGCAGGACATCAACTTTTCCCGCTCACTGAGGATTTCTTCGAGCATGCTGAGCCCGCAATCATGGAAGTGCCGAGTTTAGAGAGTTATGTACAGAAGCGTAGGATTGAGAGCGACGCTACTGAGTAGGGACAACACCTTCCCTTTTTGCATCCTGACGGAAAAGGGAAGGACCAGAGTCGCAAGGGATCAGGAACGGGTAATCACACAACTGAATCAGGTTGTGACACGAGTTTTTTGAATTTCAAGAAGTCCCCACTCCAGTCTGTACAGGAAGGGTTCAATACTAAGAGTGATGTGAAGGTAGGACTTGTAACTCCGGAACAATCTGAGTCGTTGGAAGCAGCAGCAGCGAGTTCCATGGCGGACAATCAGCTTGTTACAGCACACTCAGGTCAAGCACCTTGTAGCAACCCCGCCGGGCGCAAGCTAGCAAGCTATCCGCATCATGACGGATCTCTCGCGCGAGGAGCTTCGTTTGGCATTGGCCCAGTTGGGGGAGCAACCCCCCAGCAGTTGGACCAAGGTCGAACTGCGTCTTCGCTTGGAGCAGGTCACGGGCGAGGACATGAGCCAGAAGATCAAGAAAAAGCCCATCGACCGCTCCCCCTACGAGATCATGGTGGCCCAGCTCAATGCCTCCAGCAAAAACAAACGGACGCTGATCAACTTCTGCGAGCGGGATCTCATGATGCACAATCTGGATCGTTGGAGTATCCCAAGGATCCAACACGAGGCCATGAAGAAGATCTACAACCAGACCGCGGCACACCCATCAGACCTGGTGGGGTTCGGGGCCCATGCAGCCCTGACGTATCGCCAGATCCAGCACGAGCAGGAGGGCTACTGTCTGTGGCTGAAGAAGGAAGCCAAGAAGGGGCCCGACGAGTGCGATGCCAGATTGATTCGGCTTGCCAATTGGTTGGAGATGGAGGGCGACATCGAGATGAAGGCCTCCGAGTCCAAGATCAATGTGCTCAAGCTTGCAGCTGCCAAAAAGGCTTCAAAGCCCGAGGCCGCCAGCTCATCCGAGAATACGGAGGTGCTCCTTCGGAACATGTACGAGACGATCGAGGGCCTCAAGGAGGAGATTGCGAGCCTCAAGGGCGAGCCACAACGCAAAGCGGCCGCAAGCCGCGAGACGCACACGGAGACAAAGTCCCCGGACATGAAGCCGACAACACCTTCGAGCGGGAAGAAGGGACCGACAGCCTGAGTGACGCCCATGAGAATGAGGACCACAGGACCCCAGGTAGTGAGGCACTTAGCGCGTCCCAGAAGTTAAGCCGACAGCTCTCCCGACATCAAGCGCAGTCCTTAGAAAACCAATCATGGTCCGTGGCCTCAGAAATCTTCCAAGGCTTAGTCCGAGGGAATAGGCCAGTGATGATGGAGATTGCTTGCCAGCCTAGCAGTCTGCTGGCGGCCAAGATCCAGGAGCTTGCACAGGATGAGCACGCCGCCGTGCGGTGTTCCAAGTGGAATGCGTGTGACTTAGAGACTAATGATGGTGTGCGCCTTATCCTGCAGCGATTGGATCTTGAGAAGCCAACTCACTGTTGGATTGCTCCCCCGGGAAGCGCTTTCTCTCCGATGCAAAACGCCAATCAGAGAACTGAGGAACAAAAGCAAGCCCTGCAGTTGAAACGTGATGCAGCTACGCGGATGTATGTAGGCACCTGTATCGTGTTTCATGCTTGTGTACAAAGAGGGATTCATGTCACCGTAGAGATGTCAGAGAGATGCCAGGCATGGCGACTTCCCATGTTTGCACAACTAAGGGATAAGTATGCTCTGTACGAGGCCGTCGCCAAAGGATGCCGAGTGGGACTACGAGCAGGACCCAAGGAGCCTCTGTTACAGCAAGGGTGGCGGCTGCTTACCACTCACCAGAGGCTAGCCTCGGAGATGCAACTGCCATGTAGGTGTGCCAAAAGCTATGTACATGCTAGAAGTGAAGGTAGCGCGGTGAAGCTGTGTGAAGGGTATACTCAGGAGTTTGTTCGTAGGGCTGCACAGGCTATCATGAGAGAGCACACCATGCAGTCTCTGTGGTCTGAGTGTCATGAGGGCAGTTCTCAGAGCACTTTGCCAGGCCAGTTTGGTGAAGGGGAACGGTGCACATGCCGGGATGTTCACTTGCCCCAAAGACCCCGAAGTTGCGGACAATGTTGTCTGCGAAGTGCGGTAGCAGGAGAAGGCTTGGGGGGTTTGGTTGGGGAAGTTTCAGAGGGTATAGGCCCAGGGAGTTGGCAGGCTTCTGGGAGTGAGGTGGAAGAGGCTTTGGTAGGTGTAGATGCTGAAGCCCAAAGCAGTCTCGAAACAGAGGCCCGCAGACTCCTCGAAAGCAAAAACTATCAACACCAACATGTCGAACGATTACTTCAACTTGTACCTTGGCGAAGTAAGCAAGTCCGTAGGATGATGCGACAAAACAATCATGGCTACTTGATCCTTGGAATGTATGCCTATGGCAATCACTATGGTGTGACAAACCACACACGCCAACTGCCGTGGACCACTAAGTACCTGCTCCAGTATTTGCAGTACCAGGCTAAGGAGCCGTTCAGCTGTACTACTATAGCCATGAATCACAACGGTCTGTGTCCAGTGCACCGGGATTTGCACAACCAGGTTGGGACCTGGAACCGAGTCATAGGTCTTGGTCCCTATACAGGGGGCCAACTGTGGGTCCAAGAGGACCCCCACAGAACTAAGCAAGCCCTCACGGCCAAGGTATTGCCCAACGGCGATGAGGCTCAGGGAGCACTACATGATATTCGGCACCGACTTCTTCGGTTCAACCCGAAGGCCTGGCACGGACCCGAAGGGTGGCAGGGAGAGCGAACTACTGTGACAGCGTATGTAGCCCGAGGGTTTCAGGAACTTTGCAGTCAGGACCGTGAGCACTTGGAAGGATTGGGTTTTCAGTTTCCGGGGGTGATGCTAGGAGACGAACAAGCGTATGCTCTGCAGACTCCCACGACCAGTAGCTCCAGTAGAAACCCCAGTCCCAAACTCCAGGAAGAAAAGATCAAGAGACAGTTGTACCTACTTCATGCGGCTACCGGACATGGAAGTGTACGAACGCTTGTTGAGGCACTGAAGCGGAGGCAAGCATCGGAACAAGTGCTTGAACTTGCAAAGCAGTTTGAGTGTCCCGTGTGTAAGGAAAAGGGTAGGATTCAGAGTCGTCATTTAGCATCTCTGGAGGCCCTGCCCCCCAAACTTCACACCGTGTCAGCGGACATAGGCCATTGGCAACATCCCAAGTCTGGAGAACACACTCAGTTCATGATGATCATTGATGAAGGCTCCAGGTTCCGAGTGGCCCGAGTTCTTAGCCGTGGATCCAAACAGCAACCAAACGCGGCTACCTGCCTAGGATACCTTCGTGAGGGTTGGGCTCAGTACTTCGGAATGCCTCGTGCCCTGAGGGTTGACCCGGCAGGTTGTTTTCGAGGTGAGGCGATGGTTGAATTCTGTGATCGGAACAGTATTTACCTGGACATCATTCCGGCCGATGGCCACTGGCAAGTGGGGGTTTGTGAGCAAGCTGTTCAGGGAGTGAAGTCTGTGATGCATAAGCTTGCGGCAGATGATGAGGAAGCCTCCGTCGAGACGCTTTTGGCCCAGGCCGTGCATGTCTTTAATGCCAGGGATCATGTGAGGGGGTTTTCTCCAGTGCAACATGTTTTTGGAAGAAGCCCGGACATCACGGGCCGACTGGTAGCCACCCCGCACCAAGTGCCCGACGAGCTAGTGGTTGAGAGCGCGTGTGAAGACTTCGAACGGTCAGCACGGCTGCGCGCAGAAGCGGAGAAAGCTCACGCGCAGTGGCACACGGAGCAACGGATCAGCAGAGCGCTGAATTCTCGCACCAAGCCGGTGTACGATTATCGGCCAGGAGATTTGATCTATTTCTGGCGTAGCCAGGAGTCCGGCCAAGGCCGGAAAAAGCCAGGAACCAAGCATGGCCGATACTTAGGGCCCGCCCGTGTGCTGGCCACTGAGACGCGGAAGGAGAGCGACGGCACCTTGCGACCAGGCAGTGCAGTGTGGTGTGTGAGAGGAAGGTCACTCATCAAGTGCTGCCCGGAACAACTCCGACACGCGTCGGAGAGAGAAGAGCTGCTGGAAGGATTATCCCGTGAGCACGGCCAGGAGGAGACCCCCTGGACATTCACGAAAGTGGCTGAGGAGATTGGAGGCAACCAGTATGAAGACGTCTCCATGGAGAAGCCCAGCGACGAGGAGTGGAGCCGAGCTCAGGACGTGACACGAGAAGCCCCGCCCACACGTTACAGGTTTCGGGGGAAGCGAGCCGTCCCCGAACCATCGGAAGAGATGGATCCGGCCCCCGAGGAGGAGCACAGTCCATCTCAGAGTTCACAACCCGCGCGACGACGCGACAGGTTCCAGGCACACTCGGCGGCCTACAACGCGAAGGGCGAGACGTGGACACAGAAGGTGCCCGAGTCAGCATGGTCGGCCCAAGTGGTGGACTACTGGACCGCCAACGACGCGGCCGTGGAGGTGAGTTTGGAGCTACCCGACACAGCAAAAGCGTGGAGCAAAGCGACTCAAAACTTCCAGGGATACTTCATTGGAGCGCTCAAGCGGCGCGCCGTTGAAGTGTCGGAGAAACGCTTGAGCCCCCAGGAATTGGCGCAGTTCAAAGAGGCGAAAGCCATCGAGGTGAAAAATTTTATTGCAGCTGAAGCCTTCCAGGCCCTACCTCCCCACTTACGACCTCACCACAGCCAAGCAATCGGCATGAGGTGGCTCCTAACCTGGAAGCCGAGAGAAGACGGGAGCAAGAAGGCTAAAGCCAGAGCAGTATTACTAGGCTACCAAGATGTTGCCTACGAACACCGAGCGACCACTTCTCCCGTGATGACTAGGCAGTCACGCCAGATGTTATTGCAGGCAGCAGCCAACCACCATTGGACAGTGCATAAAGGAGATGTGTCTGGAGCGTTCTTGCAGGGCAGGCCATATCCGGATGATCTTTATTGCATTCCTTGCGATGAAATCTGCCAGGCGATGAATCTGCCCGCCGGCACAGTGACCAAGCTCAAGCGGGCTTGCTATGGTCTGGTGGATGCCCCCTTGGAGTGGTACAAGACCGTCCACGAGTTCTTTATGAGCTTAGGCCTTGAAAGGTTGTGGAGCGATCCTTGTGTTTGGGCATGGCGACAGAACGGAGTGTTGCGAGGCCTGATATCAGGCCACGTAGATGATTTTCTGTTCGCAGGAGGCGCAAAAGATGAGGGCTGGCAACACATTGTGTCAGAGATTCA